GTGGCGCCCAGAGCTGCCCTGGCTCCTGTGTCTCTCGGCTGCTACTGACCTGTCCGGGCTGCAGGAACCGGTGCGGCGGCTGGTCTGAGGTCTCCTGAGGACAGAGAGACATCGTGACAGCGGGGTTCCAAGTCCACTTGATCCCCAGTCTCTCACCCCCTCTGACAGTCTGAGACTCCGATACAAGGTACTGAGAAACTGTGATAGAATCTGTGGTAAGGCTGGAGGGTCTCAGAAATGTCTGCAGTTGTCTTGATTTACCTGGTCTCACCAAGGCCTTCCACACCACAGTCTCTTCTTTCATGTTCTCTATTTGTAGCCGGATCCCTGACTCCGACTGCGTAGCAGAGATCTCACTGAAGAGTTGGGCCTTCCCGGGGCTCCGATAGCAGAGCTCCAGCTCCTGAGCAAAGAAAGAGTCACTGTGTGAGAAGTCACTGCTCACCTGCAGGGGTGTCACTCTGACACCTCCTGAGCTCTCACAGGCCCTAGGGACACTCAGGTGACATGTCTCGAAATGAGTTCCCAGCCTCAGACTCTGCCCTGTTCCCCATTTCCACCAGTCCTGACTCTGAAGGATGATAAAATAGCAGGGTGATCCATGCATGAGTCAGGACTCACCGTCCACTGTGTGACCACATCTCCTAGATTAGATTCTTGTCTCTTGATCTTTTCCAAATTTCTCTTCCTCCATCTTATTCACCCTCTCTCCCTCAGCAATCCAAAACATATCTTTGGGATGAATTTGCATCTTGACCCACTACCCATCGACAGAAAATTTGCATTCACCCCTCTCCTCATCATGGTCTAGCCTGGACTCTGCTGCCCAGCTCTTTCCTCCACAGGCTCTTTCCCACTTAGCCTCAGACACAGCACGTGGCCTCAGCACCCCAGTCGCTCACATCCCGCTCCCAGGCTTCACCCTTAGTGTCTTCCTTGATCTGCTGACTCACGTCCTGTTAGCTCTTCTCCAGCACCTGCACCGCGTCCATGGCCTTTCTGCGCCTCACGGCTCTCTCCTGCTTAGAGCCCAGCACCTCCTGCCGCAGCCTCAGACCCCTTTCTACTGCCTCAGCGTCTGCTCTGCCCTCCTGAGCCCACCACTTCCTAACATCCAGGGTCATTTTGATGAGGGGCTGTGTGTCCTTGCTTGCGATCCTGCAAGAGCTTGTCTTTCCTGAGACCCTCACACAAGACACGTCAGGGCCCACAGAGGTGGGTGCTGGGCACCTGCGCCCCTTGTCTCCCTGTCACTCACGACACTTGGTGGCCTTTTTGTCACCTGTGGGCTCATCTTCCTCCCACCTCTACCCCTGGGCACCAGGATGGCTCTGCTAACGCTGTCTGAGGGCCCGAACCTCTGTTAGCCTCCAGTCTCAAATGCAACCCTCCCCGAGTATCCCGTAGACGTGGTCCAGTGTGACGTGTTGTGCTGTCCTTTCATCAGACTTGGCCATTTTCTCTTTTGTCGTTTCCATGGGTCACCGCAGGGTGTCAGGTGCTCGCGGGCAGAGACTGGCCTGTCTGGGCCATGGAGCCTCCTTGTCCACCACAGCACAGCGGCACCGGGCCTGTTTTGTCAGCTGGGCCAGGCCTCCCGGCTGGGAGCTGCTGACACAGCTGAGCATCCAAATATCACCTGCGCTCATGACCAGCTGAGCAGACACAGGCCTCACCTGCGGACAGCAGCCCTCCACGTCACGTGACTGTCTTTGAGGCGGTCACAGCTTTATCTCTGCTGTGCCTGCCCTGCCGACCGTGGGCGGAGGCTCCAGTCACCGCGCTGCCTCTGCCTCTGAGACGCCAGTGCAACTTCTCAAAAATAGGCCAAACCTTGTAATTCTTTCTTTCTGACACTCTTGACCTTGGCGGCCCCATGGCTCCCCATGCTCCATGTCCTCTTCTGGCAACAAGTGCTAAACAGGGCTTAGACATAGCTAGTTTCTTGGACCTGACTGCTGAGGGCAGTGTTCCCCTATAGCCCGTAACCTCCCAGTGATTCGGTTAGACCCCAGTGTTGACTCTGTCCTTTCATGTGTACTCCTACCATGACTTTCTTCTCCCTCAATATCCCCCAAATTCCCCTCCACATCCCACTCACTATCAGCCTAACCCCAAAGCACAGTGTCCCTGGGGAACTCTGCGACCTTCCCTATAGGTGTTTCCCAGCATGACCTCTGCTCTTAGTGAGTGGGGAAGGTGGGCCCTCACCTGGGGGATGATCTCCATCTCCTCTGAGCCAGACACGGTGAAGAGGGAGCCCACATAGAGTGGGGCCTGTGGGGGTGGCTTGTGTATTTGCACAAATTGGAACTTCTTTTCTTTATCATCTATGGCCTAAGGGGAAAACAGAACAATGGTCAAGGGAGGAGGGGCTTCCGGCTCAGAGACTCTTCTCATTGTTCTGCATATGGTCTGAAGATAAGAGCAGATGCTTCTGTGTGTGGGTGGAGTGTCTATCCCACCCTGCCTTCCACACCCCATCCCTGCACACAGGGAACCCACACTCTGCTGTGTTTATGGAGTCAGGTCATTGTGGAGAAGGGAGAGAGTTGGGCAAGGTGACAGCTCTGGGCACAGAGTCCTCCCATCTTATGACACCCAGAAGGGTTGCCCAGAGTTCAGGGATGGAGCACCAACCCCATCTGGGAAGACCTTAAGGGTCAAGACACCAGTGCATGGCTGAGCAGGATGACCCACCCATTCCAGGCTCCTACTTGTGAGTGACCCACTCTTATACCCGGTGGGCCCAATGTAGGTGCTCTCTGGGAGCCCTGGAGTCAGCAGCATGACCTGGCCCTTCTGGTCTGAGTCTCACCTTCTGAATGGAGCAGTCATTGGGGACCAGGTAGAGGTGGAAGTTGATTTCGCTAGGACGGAGGTGATGGTAGAGCATCACGGTGGAGATGATGGGAATGATTTTCCTGGTAACTGGGAATATTCTCAGTAGGACTCCCATGGGGGAGAAGCTGGGGTTCTCCAGGACTGTGTAACACGCCTCCACCCTGGCTGGCTCCTCCAGCAGCATCCCATCCTCTTTGAAGTGGGCCACGTGGAACTGGGAGGGGTCCACGTGGTTACCTGTCAAGGCAAGGATGTGAGAGGTGAGGATTGCTGCCCTTCCTGATGCAGGCTTGGCAAGGAGGGTGTCCCAGCATGCAGGCCTCTGTGTGGGCCATCAGGGAGGCAGCTTGCCTGGAACTGGGGTCTTTGGGAGCTGAGCGCAAGCCCATTCCGGGTAGAGCAGCACAAGAAATCCCTGGAGAGACAGTCACGCCTGGGATAAAAGTTACTGAGAATGCTGAAGGAGATCCGGTCCCTGGTGACATGTGCTGGGGCAGTCTGTGTCATGGGGATTCTGTGTGATGCTTCTAGGTTTCACTCCTGACAGGCAGAACAAGGACATGAGGACACTCTGGAAATGGAACAACCCAGGCTGTGTACATTTGTGAAGTGTTTGGTAACCACTCAAAGCCACTTTTCAAACTCCTTTTTTGGGGAAAGAACCCCTCGTTTGCCCTTTGCCATTTTGTGGTTCCTGGCAGGAAAGGAGTTGCCTCTCCCCCTGGGAAGCTGACCTCCTTGCATGTGTGATGCAGGTACATGACTCCTTGATAAGTGGATGCTCCTAACCAGGACTTTGAGGGGTGAAGTGAGGATCAGAAGGCAGAGGTGGTTTTGGCAGCATCAGTGGAGTCAGGAGTTTGTGACCCCCACGGGAGGACAGCTCCTGCAGAGCTGTTTCTTCAGTAGAGAACTCTGAATATGTTTCTTATAATGACCTTGCCCATATTCTTGACTTCTCACCACTCTTTCGTACCACCAAGGCCACAGGCTTCCACTGAAAGCTTGTTGTCTAATCTTTTGTTAAGTTGCAGACCAGCTAATAATCATCCTATATGTTCTTTTCTGCCTAAATCAAGCAGAATGGTTTGATTGCAGGAATTCTCACTAGGTGAGCATGAGATGTCACAGAGAGAGCTCTCATTGGCATTTTAATTTTTCCCAATCTTTAAAAAATTTTTAAATTTATTTATGCATACAAGAACTGGGGTACAGGCCAGAGGTACTAGGGGTGAGAGGATTCAGCAGGACAGAGTGGGGAGCAGAACAGGCAGTTTACAAAAATACACTACTGAGGGGAGTAGTGGGTGGGACAGGAGAGATCTGCTGCCCCATGTAGGTCAACTCCCTGGCTGGGGATCGAACTTTGCTCAGTGGCTGCCAGACAGCTTCATAGTGCTGTGCTTTAACCTGTTGCTCATCAGGGAGGGACCTCTGTTATTCTTTTAAATCTCCATATGTCAAGCATTATTAGTGTTGCTTTATCCAGTCAACATTTTGCTATATTTACCCATATATATCTGAGAGTCTTTGCTAGTGATTCTGTCTTGCAGCTCTTTCCTTCCCTGTGGGCTCTTCTCCTTTTGCCTGAGAACATTCTTTAGAATTTTCTTCAGTTAGGGTTCATTTGCTAAAGATGTCTTGTTTTAAAATGTCTATTTTGCCTCCTTTTTCAAATGTAAATTCTGCCTCTAATCTTGATGGCTATTTCTTTTTTAGCAGAATGATGATATTTCACTGTCTTCAGCCTTGCATTGTTGCTATTTAAAAATCAGCTGTCAGTGCAACTGAAGTACCAGATAGATATTCTCTGGCTGTCACGAAGGTTTCCTTAGATTTGGTATTCTTTAGTTTCAGTGTAATGGTTTTATTAGTGATCTCTCTCTCTCTCTCTCACACTTGTTTTTTATTTTCTCATTCTACCAACTCATATATTTTGGCAACTCTAGAAACTTCCTTGAGTATTACATAGCCACTTTTCTTTAAAACTCTCTGGAATTCCTATTCAGTATGCTAGCTATTTTTATGATGCTGTTCACAATATTTTATTTCCTATCTTATGCTTTATCAAATTTTCTGTCAATTTAGTTTGTTTAAAAAATTCATGAATCAATTTTCAGTGGTATATTACTTCTTGCTCATATTTTAAAAGCCATTTCTTTAAGCACTTAATATATTTATTATGTGCCATGTTTCCAAGAATTTCAATGTTTAAAATCTTTATGGGACTGACTGTAGTCCCTAGAGTTTCCACTGGTTCTACTTGCAACATCTTGTTTACTGAGCATATACTCTGAGCATATACTTCTTGGAATTGTACCTGTTAGAAGTCTTTAAGGTGGAAGAAGTTGGGATAACTATGCTACTCTGTAAGTGCTTCTACTTGTGAGCTCCTCTTTTTGGCTCCAGACCTCAACTGTAATCTGGTGACATGTTTTTTCTCACAGCCTGAGGGGATAGTAATGACTTTCCATTGACTGCTAGTCCCTAGGAACCCTAATATTGCTTGTTAGCTGGGGTAGCCTCACTTTGCATGTAGTGTTATCTCTGAAGACTCTAAAAATCTTAACTGAGTGCATCATCTAATTCCCATGGTAGCCTGACTGACACATCTATGTAAAGACAATACTTGATATTATTTTTATTGTGGAGACTAATTATATTCAGGAAAATTTTCCTAATAATTGTGGTGCTGGGAGAAAAAACGTTTCAACAAAGATGGGCCAGAGCAGAGCGAAATGAGGAAAAGTCTGTCTCCATTCTCATCACTCTCTCTTACCCCTCAAAGGAAGCCACCAGCTGCTTCCCCAGGGCATCCCCATCAGAAGCCCCTAACAGGCCCTTTGCACCCCCATCAGCGACCTCCACCCTCCCTCTGCCTACCTTGGAGGGACACGAAGTGAGGCAGGTACACAGCCGCCACAGCTCCTGGGTCCGCCTTGATGTCAAACAGCGGTCCTGCCACCATCCAGGTGTCCCGGGGGACAATCGTGTCCAGGAATGGGTCCCAGGCACAGAATTCAATCTCGACGGTCACTGCCCTTCTCACCACAAAGTGGAGACCCGTGTTGGGCCAGTGGTAGGAGCCGGCCGTGGGGAGGTGAGCTCTGGAAGGAGGAGGAGAGGTAGACCCTGACTCACTCTGCACAGATTCACGAGCCCCGGTGGCTGCCAGATCCCGTGTGAGGGCACAGAGATGCGGCAGAGGCCTGCCTGCGAGCAGAGGGGAGCGCGAGCCCGGGCTCCTCTCCCCGGGACAGTGACACCACGAGCAAGTCATCAACTTCTCTGCTCAGATTCCCATCTGTCATCAGGGACAACATGGCACCTCTCAGCACCTACTCAGTTGCGAGTAACGAGTGACAGAGGCTGGGGATGTCTTGTCTCTGCCTGGAGTGGCTGGCTGTTTCTCCTTGATGATAATGATGCTGAAATAGGAAGGTGTTCTTGTTTTTAAGGGGTTTTATTGCCAGTAATAACAATCACCAACCTCATATCAATGATAAACACTTGAGGTTGAAAATGACAATATATTAAGCTTCTACATGTGGTAAATGGTGGTTCCTACGATGTCAGTTTCTGTAGGGTTAGTTGGGATGACATTAGCTCCCAGCCTAGAAAAATCAGTATCACCAATTTGACATTTGCCAGGGGCAGTGTGTTTGTAGGAGACCTTGATCATGACTGTCAACATTTATTATTCATGGCTGGGGACTCTCAGAGGACAGGACTGGTTTTCCCCTCAGGGTTCCCAGTTACTAGTGTGGTAGCAAGACATAGATGATATTACTAAAATAGGGGCATACAAGGAAAATATATTAAATGAGATTAATAACAATAACAAACCAAATGGAATGTGTTTGCTTTGGAACTTGTTGAACAAATCACCTGCAGGACAAACTACAGACAACAAAGTACATTCGAATATATACTGACTGTCAGTTATATGAAGGCTTTACTAAATTCTTTGGGTGTGGTTTGGGAAACAATTTGTATTTTTTAAAAGTGCATCACAAAATATTAAGAATAAAAACCACCTGTTATCTTAGATTTAAATTACTGTATAACCACAACAAATGGGGCAAGTCAATAGTGGAAACAAATTTGTGAAATCAGTAATGGAAGCTGGGTTTGAGTAAATGTCAGAGTCCTTGTGTTGTTTGGAAATTTTACAGCAAACCTATTTTGTGCATAATACAAAAATCACCCAGTCTCTGAACCTATTGCTTTTCTGGCAGTTTGTTAGAGGAGAGGATTTGTTGTGGCAATTTCCCAGAGAAATCATACAGCACTCAGGTAGAGAAAGAAATTTAGCTGTCACATGGCAGGCTTAGTGGGATCAGTCTCAAAAGGCTGAGCCCCGAATTACAGGTAGGTGAGGTTTCATACAGTCAGTATGATGAAACTTGTCCTCTCATCCATCATGGGATGGATTCTTTAGTCTTTATTGTTCAGAAGGGGGTCAAGGTGGCCACAGCACTATTGTGAACAGGGAGTGAGTACAACAGCAGCTTCTCTGGGCCAGCAAGCAGCAGAAATCAGCAGCAGAGTCCCTCAAGCAGCAGACCGGGGAAACTTCCGTTTCAGGTTCCCGGGATCCATGGGCCCCAGTGTGGGGTCACAGAGGCCAGGCAGACACGGGAGCACCCTCACTCCCTCACTCACCGGTAC